TCCGTGATCCCATCAAATTGACACAGAAAATGAACCATCAGGCAACGTAAGAAATTAATAAAAAGGGAAACATTGCAGGCTACATGGAAACACTGTATTACTTTCTTAATTTTTCTGTAAATCTCAAGCTTTTCTAAAACATAAATTCTTTTTTTAAAGCCAGAGAAGGCCGGCCCCATGGAAAATGGGATCCCACATGACTGATCACAGCTTGAATTGCAGCCTCAGCGGCCTGAAAAACATGCTGAGCACAGGCATATGTGCCCAGGATCCTGAGACGGGGAAGTGGAGGGAAAAAAGATGATGGTATGGGGACCAGCAGTTAGCGTAATGGCTATGTAGCTGGACTCCCATGTAGTCGACTGCGGTTCAAGTCCTGGATCCAGTGGCTTAACCTCACGCTGTGCACGTGTGCATGTGTGCCCAAGATCCCAAGAGGAGAATGGAGGAGAAGGGATTGCGACGTAACCATCCCTCCTGGGGGGTGATTTCTCGCTTTCTGTCTCTCTGTCTCTCTCTGTCTGTCTGGCGAGCGCACGCGCCCTATAGCGAAAACCTCTCCAAGGAAAAAAAAAGATGGTGGTATGACCAGGCCCTGCTGGACTTCTCTCTCTCTCTCATGCATGTGGCCTCTGGCAATACATAAATAAGCCAGAGAGTTGACACGGGCAAAATTCTCTCGCTTGTTTGAAGTAACAGATAGCATGCCATAAGCTCCCCGTGGAGGAGGTTATGCGGCAAGGGTCTGAGGGCAGCCTCCAGGCCAACAGCCTGCCAGAAAATGAGGAATTCAGTCCTACAACTGTGAGGACCCCACCAAGAAGCCGTGAGCTCGGAAGAGGACCCCGAGCCTCAGATGAGATGCACAGCCTGGCCGACCGACGCCTTGCGGTCAGTCCAGTGAGACGGGAGCAGAGGACCCAGCTGACCTGTACCTGGGCTCCTGACCCTCAGAGGCATGGAGAGGGTAAATGTACCATTTCAGACGACTGCGTGTGTGCTCTTTTGTTACACAGCAACCCCAGGCAGCAAGGGCGCGCCTGTTTTCCCTCTGGCTGCTCTGTCCAGCCATGCCTGGGTTACATTTAATATGAACTGCCGAGAAAAGAAGGCCTCACAGCTGACTTGTACAGCCTAAGGCGAGAGGCAGAAAAGCTGCTCCTCCCTTACGGCGCGGCTTTGCCAGCTGTTCGAGATCTCCGGAGTCTGGACACAGGATTTCTTCTTGCTCGGGGGATCGGTCTCCACTCTATGAAGGCCTTCAGATTATTGGATGAGTTCCATCCACATTAAGGAGAGTCATCTGATTACCCAGAATTCACCTATTTTAGTGTTAATCTCATCAAAGAAACAAAAAACACACACCATCACAGAAACATTCAGAATAAGGTTAGGCCAAATATCTGAGCACAGTGGGCCACAGGCACGGACAGGTAATCTTCCCACCAGAGACGTGACTGCCATCAGGGGAAAGCCGGGATGAAGCTCAGGGTCAGGAGGCCACACTCCAAGCTCTTCCCAGGAGCCCTAAAGTATCACCATATTCTACTCAGTGTGAGAAATACCCAGAGGTGGGACCAGCAGTTAGCGTAATGGCTATGTCCCTGGACTCCCATGTAGTTGACTGCAGTTCGAGTCCCGGACCCGGTGGCTTAAACTCACGCCGGGCACGTGTGCATGCATGCCCAGGATCCCAAGAGGAGAATGGAGAAGGGATTGCGACGTGGCCATCCCCCCTGGGGGGTGATTTCTCGCTTTCTGTCTCTCTGTTTCTCTCTGCCTCTCTGGCGAGTGCACGTGCCCTATAGCAAAAACCTCTCCAAAAAGGAAAAACCCAGTGGGAATGTGTCTTGTAGGTAGAGGGAAAAGGCTGAGTCCTGTAACCTAGGTGAGAAGTAAACATTTAGTTTTGAGTGAAACAGTACGAAGCGTCTGGTTTGCTTATGTTAGCTTTTGCTATAGAGCTCATGTGCTCACCAGAGATGGAGAAAGAGGGAAAGTGAGAAGTCACCCCCCAGAGGGCTGAAATCCGGGGCTGAGAGCTGAGCTTTTGTCTTCGCCGCTTTTCCTCCAGCAGCTTCTGTCATTCCCAGTCCGGACACAGGGTGGCGCCACGTGACCATAGTGTCCACAGGGACCTTCCAGGTGATCCTACAGGGGAAGTGGACAGAGCGGCTTCTGAGGGAGGGTGCCCCGGTGGCTGGGTCCCCTCCCACCTCCAGGGGCAGACGGGCTAGGAGTGGGCTTAGTGTGGCTGCATGAGGGAGTAGGTGGGAATTCTAGCGGCAGGAACGCTGGTGTCCACCAGGCCCCTCGAGAGCACGGCTGATATCCCTGTCCAGGGCAAGCAGGACTGGCCGGGCTGGCTCTGAACCCTGGAGACTGAGCTCGCTGCAAACCTCCGTTTCCCCGGGCATTGCAAGGACCCTCATTCCCACCCTACACCTCCACTTGGGCCCCTTTCCTTTTTCTCTGGGTCACAGGGTGTTTTTAGTAAGGGCAGCCTGGGTGGAGGAGGAGACTGGACCCCAGGCCATGGAGGGAGAGGCCGTGCTTTGCTCCCTGCCTCGGGCAGCCTGCATGTGGGGCGGCAGGGATCTGTGTAGTAGTTCAAACTGGGGGCTAGAAACAGTACCGGGGAGACCCAAAGCTCGCTGCTACAGGTGTGAGCCTGGACGCTGCGTGAGGGGGAGCGAGGAGGGCAGCCGTGCTTGGGAAGGTGGGGAAGGCCAGGTCTGTGCGGTGGGTGGGCGGCAGTCTCTGGGGTGGCCTTCTTGGCTGGAGGGGAGGCCTGTGCAGTTTCTCTTCCCCGCGCTCTCGCCATTGGCACCTCCATCCTGACTCTGCCGGGGCCTCACTCCGCCAAGGCTGGGCTGGCCAGGGGCTTGTTTTGAAGCCCGATGTGCTGGGGAACAGGGCCTGTCCATGGCTCGCCCCCACCCTGACCTCGCACCCAGGAAGAGGCCCTCGTCTGCCCAGGCTGGGGAGTAATCCTCTGAACAAACAGTCCTCAGCCTTATCGCTAACTGGACCCCAACGCTATAATTAAAGGTTCAGGAGGAAGGGATTATTACAGAGGAGGAGGCAGAGCCCCCCACGGCCCGAGGCTGGCATCGGGAGCCCAGCCTGCTGGGGATAACATTCAGGACACCCCCTCCCCAGAAACCGAATCACAGGAGGCCTTCCGGTCTGAGGCCTGCGAGCCAGGTAGAGCCCAGAGGGAGCCCCACATGAGAAGAGAAGTGAAATTGTGTTCCTAGTCGGACGCAGTTGCTTTATCAATGCGCCGCTCGCAAACAAACTGCTCAGGGCATGGCTGCCCAGTGAGGGCGCGAGTACAGACATCGGCCGGATGAGCCTGGAGCCAAGGGACTGGCGTGGTCAGATGGCCTAAGCCTCTCCTGGCCACTGGGCTTGGGCTCTTACTGGTCTCGTCTAAGGACACCCTGGGCTGTGTGGCCTTTATGCTGTCTGTGACCATATCTTGGGCCATTCTGAAGGTGGAGTGTGACCTGCAGTTTCCCCTCACACCTGACCCGGCTTGGTATCTTCCCAATCTAGTACAGCCTGGCCTGTGAGGGAAACTTCATCCGCCCTTACATCCACCCATGACCACACACCCATTCATCCAAGGTCGACTCAACACCTGCTAGCCAGACACTGCTCTAGGCCCAGAGATTCAGTGAGGGACGCGACAGAGCCCCGTCTTCACGACGCATACATTCCAGCTACAAAAGCAGACCACCAGCAAGACATATCTAAGGAGACGATATTTGCACAAGGCCTAAATGCCCTGAAGAAATGAGAGTGAGCACGGGAGAGGCAGTCCAGGCCAAGGCGCAGCCTGGGGGAGCACGTGTCTGGGACCAGCAGAGGCTGGAGTTGAGCGAGAGAGGGCAGGCGTGGGGTGAGAACGGGCTTCGGCAAGACAGGCGGTGGTCAGATCACTCAGGCCTCGGAGGCCGTGGGCAGCAGAAGCCTGTTAGAAGGTGCCAAGCAGAGGCAGTGAGGAGACTGGATTATTCTAGAAGGGTCATCAGCAGCCATGTGGAAGAGCAGTTGTAGAACAGCGTGGAATGGGACACTGGTGAGTTGGAAGCCGAGGGAGCACCAGAGGCAGGAAGAGGTGGATGCTGGGACACTGGGCCTGAGCGGCCGAGGCTGCAGAAGGGTCGGGGCAACCCAGGTCTTCGGGGCCTTGGCCACAGATGGAGATACTGTTAGTGGTCAGTGGGTCCCAGAGGTCATGACTGATACGGAGCAGCTGGGGGCAAGAGGCTGCCTGGGTCAGGGCCACGAGGGCCAGGTAGGTGGGGGGAGCGGGCCTTTGCCTCTGGTGGGAGGGACGCCTGAGGGCAGGGGCGCGGGCTGCAGGGGTGGGAGTGGGTGGGCAGTGCAGGCCGACATCGCTCTCCCCGGCTCGTGGCTTGCACTGCAAGTGTGAGCTAACCAGTTCCCAGACAGCAGGAAAACAAGAGAAGAGGCTGGAGGCTTGGTGCTCTCAGCGGCCTGTGGGCTGGGCCCTGCCAACCCCGCGCATCCTCGCTGCACCTCCACGTGGGCCTCCAGCCTGACCTGCGGTGTCTGCTGAGCTCTCTCCCACCTGGCTCCTCCCCAGCACAACGGCAGGGCCCACACTGTCACAGAGGGGCCGCTGTCGGCGCGGGCCCCTGCCTGTGAGCCTGTTAGGGAGAGAGCTGCGCGGCTCGGTCGGGAGCGGGAGCAGAGAGCAGCCCACAGCACTGCAGGCCGGACTCCAGATACTGAAGGTTTACGTCCAAGACGTCACTTTTCCCTCTCGCACCAAGGCTTTTCCACAAAATGAATGCCCTTCCCAGAGCGGGGTCTCGCTCCGTGGGGTTCTCGAAGGCCATAGTGTCACAGCAGGGGGAGGTCGCCGGGGCCGCTTCTCTGCCACTTCCAAGCAAGTGTCCTTTCTGCCCAGCCTTGTGACAAGGGACAGCTGCAGCTCCCCCCTCTAGCTATAAAAAGCTCAAACACCCGGTGACAGAGGACATTCTACGCCAGGACGCTCGGGAAGCTCGAGCCGGAGCCATGCTGAGGTTGCCCACCAGACTGCTCCAAGGCCCCCTGAGGTGTCAGGTGGTGCCCAAGATGCACGTCTCCGCCAAGGCAGCCAGAAACCCCACCTCCCCCACCGTAAGTGGCCTCCCAGCAGCAGTGGGCAGCCCCGAGAACCTGGCCCATTGACTGCTTGGGGGGGTGACAGACGTCCAGGCTGACCTCAGGGCTATAGCTGCGACATCTGAATGCCCGGGGAGGGGGTCCTTGCAGCCACTGCCTGCAGGCTGGTCTCCCATGGTGGCCAGCAAGCGGTGGGGACGGGTACTCAGCTCTCAGGCACCTGCTGAGCACTCAGTGGGCAAGAGTGGGCTGTGTGAGGGTCAGACAGTGCAGGGGGACTGTAAGCCCAAGGTAACCCTCGGCTCCAGGACAATGCATGTCTCTTTTAAGCCTGAATAGGTCACGGTCTAGAAGGTCGCCCACCCAAGGTCAGATGGCGAAGGCCTGAACCCAGACGTAAGGTCATGGTTCTAGGCCAGGTTTGCTCCTAAATCTCCGAGGGTTAGTCAGAAGGAAGGGTTAGTCTCCACCCGGCATCTGATTCAGCTTTAGGAAAGGCAGGGCTCCTTGGGTAGACGTGGGCGCAGGCCTTCTCCGGAGGGAACTGAGTAGGGGTGAGATCAAGTTCAGCCATGGAGAACGTGAGGCTCCAGGTGGGGTCCTTACACACACGCAGCCCCGGGAACCTCACCTTTCCCCAGGCTTCGGAACTGCCACTTAAAGAAAGGGCACTGGGGCCAGCGGGTGGCACGGTGCCTAAGGGTGCTGGGCTCCCACCTGTCTGACTGCGGTTTGAGTCCAGGACCTGGCGGCTTGCTTTCTCACTTTCTCTCTTGCTCTGTCCCTTGCTGGTCAAATTAATAATTTAAAAATGAACGAAAGGCCCGGTTTGGTCTGAGGCACCTGCTGCACAGTACCCGCTGTGTCCACTGCACCTGGGGCCATCCCAGGGCACTGACCTCTGGTCTCCCTGAGGCTGCCAACCACATGGGCGATGCGGATGCTCGCTGCTTGCGGTCTGCCCGTGAGAAGGCTGGCAGCCAAGTCCGTGGGGGGCAGGCAGGGCAGTCTGAGCTCTAGGACCGAGCCCTGCTGCCAGACACTCCCTCTCCGGCCAGTGGACTC